CAGAAGTATTTCACGATGACTTACCCAAAATTTCTCCCGAATGAGAAATAGATTTCGGTATTGAGTTATTGCCGGACATAAAACACATCTTGATCCCTCCTTAATGGATGGCTCCGGCCGAGTTAAAGGAACTAAAACTTTAACTCAAGGATTTACTACAAAAAGGTTTCATACAACCTAGTATTTCTCAATGCGGCGCTCCAGTGTTGTTTATGAAAAAGAATGATGGAACCCTTAGGATGTGCATTGATTACTGTCAACTAAACAAGGTTACCATAAATAACAAGTATCCTCTCCCTAGGATCGATGATTTATTTGATCAACTTCTAGGGGAAAGCTACTTTTCAAAAATTGATTTGAGGACTGGGTATCACCAAATGAGAGTTAGAAGAGTGGGTACACCTAAAATGACTTTCTGAACAAGGTATCGTCATTATGAGTTCCTAATTATCTCTTTTGGTCTAACTAATTCCCCGGTGGCTTTTATGGTCCTTCTAAATAGAGTACTCCAAAATTACCATGATTCTTTTGTAATTGTCTTCATTGATGATATCATGGTATATTCTAAGAGTGAGGATTACCATATAGACCATTTTAGGGTTGTATTACCTTAATGAGATTGTGAGTTTGCATGGGATCCCTTTGCCAATCATCTCGGATAGAGGTGCCCAATTCACTTTTCATTTTTGGAGGTCTTTTCTAAAGGTCTAGGTACTCAAATGAAACTTAGAACTACCTTTCATCCTTAAACAAATGATCAAGTGGAACAAACCATACAAACCCTAGAAGATATATTATGAGTTTGTGTTATTGATTTCAAGGGTAATTGGGATGATCACCTACATTTGATTGAGTCCTTCTACAATAGTATCTACCATTCGAGCACTTTTATGACACCATTTAAAGTACTTTATGGTAGGATATGTAGGTCTTTGGTGGTTTGAGGTTTGTGAGTCTTCACTCCTTGGTCCCAACATAATATATAAGCCTTTGGAAAAAGTTGGAAAGATAAGGAATATGTTTAAAACATCCTATAGTCGGCAAATATCTTATGCCCAGAACATGAGAAGAGACCTTGAGTTTGAAAAATGTAATTGGGTCTACTTGAAGATTTGACCAATTAAAGTGGTGATGATATTTGGTAAAAAGTTGAAAGTTTTAGTCCCCAATATGTGGGTCCTTATAATACTTTGAAACTGGTGGGGAATGTTTCTTATGAGTAGACATTACCAAGTGAATTAGCGCCGGTTCACCCGGTATTTCATGTCTCTATGCTTAAGAACTATATAGGTGACCCGGTGTCAATTCTCCTATTGAAGGGTTGCGGGTGGATGAGAACCTTTTTATGAAGAATTTCCGGTTGAAATGCTAGATTGTCAAGTCAAAATGTTGAGGAACAAGGAGGTGGCCTCTGTAAATGTTCTGGAGAAACCATCAGTTGAGGGTGAATCCTGGGAAACCGAGGCCGACATGAAGTCCTGCTACCGTCATCTCTTTCATCTTACTCCTAGTCAAAGTTCAGGTTAGTTATTCCTCTTAAAATAACATTTTGAATAATGTGAAGTTGGCTTATTTCTAAGTATGTGCATATCTTTGTAAAGGTTCATGTTAAAATGAGTTTTCATGAAAAATGTTGTCATATTAAATTTGAACTTATATGTAATATATATATTTGTGTTCATGAGAATTGTAGTGAGTATGTTTGATGGTGCTTGAAAAAAAATCCATGGTAACTCTTGATGTTAATGTTGAGCTCATGTTGATATTGAGAAGGTAGTTCCTCATTATGTGATATGAAATGTAGAGATGTAATATGTGGTAATGGGAATTGAGTTTCTATGCGTAATGCCATAATTATGTGTTGAATGAGGTTGAGAAGTAATCCTATGATTTGTGACTCATTAAGATATTATGTTGCTATTGGTTGGACTGCTAGTATTGAGTCTCCTTCTCACCCTATAAAAAGATTTAGGTGTCATTCGAAGACAAATGTTCCTAAGGGGGGATAATGTTACACCCTTGAAATCCAATGACCTAGACTAGAGACTCAGTTAATAATAATGATGCTTATGGACCTAAACATGTGTAATTAATTTACTTTAGAAGATGATAGTCAAACCGTCAATGGACGACCACGACGTCCGGTGAACTAATAACCTAATCTAGTGTGGTAACAAGTGGTGGTAGGATGTTTAGAAAAAAATGTCTAAAGGGTTGTACATGAAGAGAAGATGAGGGTGGACATAGGTGCCTAAGAGAGGGTTAAAGGATTTAGGGGCAAGGGAGGATTTCCAACCTTGAGGAGCAAGCCAAAGCCAAAGGCCAAGGCTGCCCCAAAAAGGGAGGCTATTGACTCAACCTTCACGAGCATGACAACGGCTCGTGGTCATGACCATGGCCAAGTTGGGGGAATGTGAGGATGTCTTGTCCATGAGAGAGTCATACCATAGTGGATTACACTCCACGACTCGTGGTGCACTTAATGGAAGGAGAGTCTTGGTCGTGGTCTTGCCTTAGACGTTTTAAAAAAAGGGTGGTTTTGGGGGAGCTACTACCTAGAGCACCACTAGCAACTTGACAAGTCGTGGTGCATGTTCACGAAAGGAGAGAAGGGTCGTGAAGTTCATTTAGAAAATTTTTAGGATGACATGTTTGGGGAGCTACTGCCTCATTCTCCACGACCACCACCACGGGCCGATAATAACTTCATGGCTTGTGAAGTGGGGCGTAAAGGTGGGTGGGCTTTCACAGCCAAAGTCAAGTTGGACTTCATTTTTGGAAGTCCAACCTAATGAAGGGTAGTTTGGTTATTTTTGGGGTTGACTATATATAAGTTTTAAGTCGTTTATCACCCATTTCCCACTTCATAACTCAAACACAAATTTAAACCCTATTTTCCCACTTCTCTCTACATCTCTACACCCTCTTTCTACTTCATCCTCTATTGAAGTTCAAGAGAACGACAAAAATCTCCAAGTTTCTTAAAAGAATCTCGTGGATAAAGGCTCACCAAGGTACAGTTTGTTTCACTCTTGGGATTCCTTTCCCAAGAGGCAATCTCACGGAGATTTTTAAACCTCCCCAAACTAGGGTTTCTCTCTACACATGGGTCCTCTTTGAAAAACTAAATTAACAAATCAATGTGATGAATTATGTTCAATTAATGTTGTTAAGTATAAATTGATGGTTAATTATTTTTATTCACTCAAGTTTCCCATGCACCCATGTATTTCCCTAATTTTATGAAAACCTTGAATTGATATGGTGGATTGTGAATATGATGAATATGTTTATTGATTACATTGATGTTAATTATGTAATTTCTTCTTGCATTACCATTTTTGTCTATTGATTATATATCCTTAGTTGATGGAAGTATGGAGTCCCATGCAAGGGCAAGAAGGTATGAATATTGGTTCTTTCTTGAATTCAATTATGTAGGATGAATTACTTGGACAGTAATGGTGTGATAGCTAATGTGTTGTTGTGGTGTTGATGGCAAGATTTCCTCATCCTTAACCCAATATTTTTGAATTAGCGTGAAGTATGAATGTATGTTACGCTAGGTTCGCAATAAGGTCAAAATGTATTTCTCCTGATTATAATAAGGTGTTAAGTGAAAGGTTTACTCACCTTTAGTGATTTCTAGGTTAAAGGAATGTTCTCACTTATGATTACCTATGAGCTAATATGATAAAATGTTAACATAGAGGTCTAGTAGAGACTAATGTGAACTTTTATGATTAATAGAGATGATTATTAAAGGAATAACTTCTTAGCACCGTAAGGAAACCTAAGTGAGATAGGGGTCTCATGCTTAGTAAGTCCGTCTCCCCACATGGTTTTCCTTATGTTTGGTAAGTCCTTATTACCAAGTTATTTGTTTTATAATGACATGGAAACCCTCATGTTTATCCAGTTATGGTTTCTAGTAACAACCTACTTGTCCCTTAATTATGTGCCCACATAGAACTCTACCTTAGTGGTTTCATCTAGATAGCTATGTACGAACGGTTACACCTTCAGAAAACGTTAACCCTATATTTTTAGTATGGGAATAAAACACCAGATTCCAAGTAGCTCCCATGGTCTGATGTCAGTTATTACAAATTCTTTCCCTAATGTAAAATTAAATGAATAAAGTAAATGTGTGAACTCTTATTACGCCTTTCTTAAAGGTTTCTACATAGAGTGAGGGAGGGTATGTAACTTCTCTTACACATTGCACTTGTGGGATCCTAAGGGATGATCCTAGCATTATTCTTGGTATGAATAATTTAATTATGTGTTATGTTTATAATCTATGAGTGATCTTTATGAATAAAGCATGTCATGATGAAATATAAGGTTATGTGGTAAGTATGAAATCGGTGCCTTAAGATGATAGTTATCTTGGAATAGTATTAAGGGGTTGCATTCTTTGCATTGCACAACTATTGCTTGGGTTTCGTACATGTTGGGTTAATATTATGTTGAGGTCACTTATAATGCTTACAATGTGTGCATGTTATATTAAATTGATAGAAACCATGATTTTGACTAATATTTCCCTTTTCTCATGCATTGGTGATTTTTATGCATATGTTAGTAATGGTCATTGGGTGTCAGTCATGTCCAGGGTGTAGGTTCAGGGCGTGACAAATTTTGTATTCGATCATATATTTCAAAAGGCCTAGGGAGTCTATGAATATGTGTCTTTAGAGTCTTAGTCCTCCGTGTGAAGCGCGACCCATTTATTATTAGAACAATGCAACATTTAGGAATTTCTCAATTTTTTCATATTCCTATTCGTGCGTTAGAGTTTATCTCTAAAAATTTTCTCTCTTATTCATGGTTATGCGTATTTCAGATCATCATGTCTCCACAAAAAGCATCAAGAGGGCATCCAGCCAGATGGATTGTTTAGGAACCATAAGTACCTAATGCACCAAACGTGCAACCTGAAGGAAAAGTCACCAATGCTAAGTTCCGTGAGGGATATCCACATGTAAAGCCAAGAAATGACTAACGAAGTCGGGAAACATAAAGGATCTCGACTAGTGGAGTCTGATACCTCGAGGATTTGCGAGTTTCTAAGAATGAATCCTCCTAGCTTTACCAGTCTGAGCACTATTGAGGATTCGGAGAATTTTGTTGAGAAGCTGAAGAATGTTTTTGATGTGATGCATCTCATAGATACCGAAGAGCTTGAGATAGATGCATATCAACTAAAGAATGTGTCTATGATGTGGTTCGACCAAGGGAAGGAGGGTAGAGATAAGAATGCACCACGTTTGAGTTGGACTTTCTTTGAAGAAACTTTCTTCGGCGTTTCTTTCCTTGAGAACAAAAAGAGGCAAAGGTACAAGAGTTCCTTACCTTGAAGCCCCTTGAGTGGAATAAATATGGGTTGAAGTTCACTAAGTTTTACCGCTATGTTCCTAAAATGGTTAACAACATGAGGAGCAAGATGAGTTTGTTATTGCTGTCTCTGGGCGTGCTTAAAACAAAAGGGGCTGAGTTGTAATGCTGATAAGAGATATAGACATATCTAGGTTGATGGTCTATGCGCAACATGTTGAAGAGGAGAAGCTGAGGAACAGAGAGGAGTATAGTAATAAGAAATCTTATACTTGAATGAATCAGGGCAGCAGAAGATCAATGCCAACCAGTAATTGTTCTAGTAGGAAGAGAAGGGACGGGCTCTATCATTTTCTAGTGCACCTGCACCTTAACAAGGGTGAGTACAACAATCAATGTTTCATATTTAAACCTACTTTTTCTCAGTGTACCATGGCACAAGGGGGTAGTAAGCCTCTTGCATGTGCCAAGTGTGGTAGAAACCATTCAAGTAGTTGTCGTGATCGCTCTGCTGGCTGTTTCAAGTATGGTCAGAATGGGCATTTCATGCGAGACAGTACAAAGAATAGATATGGAAATGGTAATGGGGGCAACATAGTGCAATCTTCATCAGTTGCTCCACCAGACAGGGCTGCACCTAGAAGAGCTACTTGTGGTATGGCAGAGGGACAAACCACCTCTATGCAATCACTAGCCGCCAAGATCAATATAACTCTTCAGTTGTTGTCACAAGTATGATCAAAGTTTTAAATTTTGATGCTTATTATTTGTTAGACCAAGGAGCAAGTTTATCTTTTATAAGTCCTTATGTTGCAAATAAGTTTGAGATTCTTTCTGAGAAACATTGTGAATCTTTCTGTGTTTATACACATGTTGGAGTGTCTATTCTAATGGAAAGAGTCTATTGTGGTAGTCTTATTCTATCAATCACAAATACACCATGGCTTACCTAGTTGAGTTAGACAAGGTAAATTTAGATGTCATTCTAGGTATGGACTGACTTCATGCCTGTTATGCCTCAATAGACTATTGAAATTGAGTTGCCAAGTTTCAGATTCCTAATGAGCTAGTCATAAACTGTAGTAGTAGTTCAACAGTGCCTAAGGATCATTTCATTTCGTACCTTAAGGCGAGAAAGTTAGTTTCAAAGGTATGTCTCTATCACTTAGTATGAGTTAATGACTCAAGTGCTGATGTATCTTCCCTTCATGCAGTTTTTATAGTAAAGGAGTTCTCAAAAGTTTTTCTTGATGATCTATACAATGTCTCTCGTGAGAAAAAAATAGACTTCGACATTGATATCAAATAAGATACTCATCCTATCTCGATCCTCCATATAGAATGGAACCATCAGAGTTAAAAAAGTTGAAAGAATAGCTGAAAGATCTATTAGATAAAGCTTTTATTCGAGCAAGTGTCTAACCTTGGGACACTCTAGTATAATTTATACAAAAGAAAAATGGTTCCTTTAGGATGTGTATAGACTAGCGCCAATTGAATAAATTTTCCATTAAGAATGAGTATCCTCTCACGAGGATATATGATCTTCTAGATCAACTTCAGTGTCTCACCTGTTTTCAAAAATCGATCTCAGATCTGGCTACCATTAGTTTTAAGTTATGGAATAGGACATGCCAAAGACAACTTTTAAAACTATATATGGGCATTATGAGTTTTTGTTATCTTATGAGCAGAGTCGTCAAGCTTTATTTAGATATGTTTTTTGTATAATCTTCATTTATAATATAAAAATCTATTCAAGGAATGAAGAAGATCATGCTAGTCAACACAAAATAGTCCTTCGGACTTTGAAAGATAAAGAGTTGTATGCCAAGTTCTCCAAGTGTGACTTTTGTCTCAAGTTTGGAGCATTGTTGAGCCACATAGTTTTCAGGGATCGAACTATAGTTGATTCCCAAAAGATACAAGCAGTTCAGAGTTTGTTTAGACCAGCGTCTCCTGCCTATATTAGCAGTTTCTTGGGTTTGACTCGCTATTATAGAAGGTTTATTAAGGGGTTTTCATCTTCCTTGACTAATTTAACTTAGAAGATAGTTAAATTTCAATGGTCTTAAGCCTGTGAGAAAAGTTTTCAGGAATTGAAAATAAGGTTTAATAATGACCCAACTTTGACATTACCAGAGGGTACTCAAGGTTTTGTGGTGTATTGTAATGCATCTAGAGTTTGTTGGGGTGTGTACTAATATAGAATGGCATAGTTAAAGCATATTCCTTTAGTAATGTGAAGGGTCACGAGATGAATTACCTATCCCACGACTTGGAGTTGGCGGTTGTGGTATTCACCTTGAAGATATGTTTTCACTATTTATACGGTGTTAATGTTGATATATTAACTAATCACAAGATGCTACAATATGTGTTCACCAAAAAAGAGATAAATATCATAAAGATAAGGTGGTTCGAATTATTCAAAGATTAGGACATGAGTATTTTTTAATACCTAGGTTAGGATGATGTAGTTACTAATGCTTTAAGTAGATTATCTATGGAAAGTACCACCCATGTTAAGGAATAAAATAGAGGGTTATCCAAAAGATATGCACAAACTTTCATTCCTTGGAGTAAGGCTTATAAATTCCACAGAACCGAGAATAGTGGTCACTAATGGAGCAGAATCATCACTAGTTTCAGAGGTGAAGGAAAAGAAAAACCAAGACCCCATTTTTCTTGATTTAAAGACAAATGTTCATAATCGAAGAGTGTTGACTTTTGAACAAGGGGGAGATGGTGTGCTGAAGTAAAAAGGTAGGTTGTTTGTGCCCAGGGTGGATGGGCTTCAAAAGAGGATCATGGAGAAGGCTCATAGCTCACATATTCCATTCATCTAGGTTCCACTAAGATATATTGCGATTTGAGAGAGGTATACAGGTGGTAAGGTATGAAAAAGGATATTGCTGAGTTTGTTGCAAAGTGTCTGAAGTGTCGATAAGTGAAAATAGAAGACCAAAGGCCTAGAGGGTTGGCTCAAAATATATAACTTCTGTAATGGAAGTTGGAGATGATTAATATGGACTTTATCATAGGTTTACAAAGGTCTTGAAGGTAGATGATTCGATTTGGGTAATTGTTGATAGAATGAAAAAAGCATCCCAGTTCTTTCCGGTAAGGATTATGCAAAGTTATACATTTAGGAGGTGAGAATTCATGGGGTACTAGTGTCGATTATTTCAAATAGAGGTGCATAATTTACAACTCAGTTCTCCAAGTCTTTCAGGAAAGATTTAGGTTCAAAGATGAACGTAAGCATGACTTTTAATCCTCAGACAGATGGCAAGTAGAGTATACAATCCACACCTTAAAATATATGTTGAGGAATTGTGTGATTTAGTTCAATGGGAATTGGGATGACCACCTACCTATCATTGAGTTTGCTTACAACAATAACTACTCTTTAAGCATTCAAATGGCTCCGTATAAAGCTCTTTATGGGAAAAGATGCAGATCTCATATTTGGTGGTTCAAAGTTTATGAACAGGTTTGATAGGAAAAGATCTAGTTCACCAAGCATTGGATAAAGTGAAGGTGATTCAAGATAGTGTGGAACACAGAGTCCTCAAAAGTACTATACAAATGTTAAGAGGAGGCACTTGGATTTTGAAGTGGATGATTGGGTTTTTCTGGAAGTTTTTACTATGAAGAGTGTTATGAGGTTTCATAAGAAGGGGAAACTTAGTCCCCAATATATTGGACCTTATAGGATATCTAAAATTTGGCAATGTAGCTTATGATCTGGAGCTACCAGAAGAGTTAGAGTGGTCCATCCGGTATTTTATGTTTAAATGTTGAAGAAGTGCATAGGTGATCCTTCATTGATTGTACCAACTGAAAATGTTGGATAAAGGATAGCTTATCCTATTAAGAGATTCCAGTTCAGATTTTAGATCGGCAAATGCGCAAGTTGAGAACAAGGGAGGTTGTGTCAGTCAAGGTACTTTTGAGGAACTAATTTATTGAAGAAGCAACTTTGAAAGCTGAAGAGGATATGAAGAAGATACATCCACATCTCTTTGAATCTAGAGAGAATGCAAATCCAGGTAATAATCATCTTCTTAAGTACTTTATAAACTACGAGTAAGCATGTTGTACTTGCTTTTGGGTTGGAGTGTTGACCTTGATGTTAATACTCTTAGCGTAGGGAAAGAAATCTCATTTGAGGACTAATGTTCCCAAGGGGGGGGGGATAATTTAACATCGTATAACTCTTAGTAGCCTAGAATAAGCTAAGAAACTAGAATCTTTTACTTTTGGAAGAAAGGGGAATATCTGGAAATATATCAGCGTTAAGAAATAAATTTTTGGTAATTTTCAAACAACCATAAGTTCTTGCTTGGGATGAGTTAGAGTTTGTTTTGTATATAGTTAGGAAGCCATTGGATAGATTATTCCAATGACTTCAAGTTTGATTGATTTCTTTATCTTATTAGGGAGATATTCCTTATGAAAGTTGGGTTATTTAGGTAAGGAAAGTACAATTTGGATTTAAGGAAGGGAAAACTAGTCTTTTAACCAAATTTTTTCCTAATTCATTTTAAGGGTTTAATAGGGGTAAAAATAAGTTTAGTTCAGAGTAGAAAAGTTTACCCAATCTTAGGGTTTGGCAGAAGATTTAAGAGAAGAAGAAGAAGGGAGAAAGATCAAGATTTTTGCAAGAACAGTAAAGAATTTCGAGTTTAATTTATCGATGGTGATCCTTATTAAGGTATATGACCTTTTTGTGTTGGTTTAATTCATCTTCACACCAATCTTATTTCAGTTCTTGAGTTTTAGAATTGCTTTCATGATTACAAGAGAAGTCTTAAAAATCTCGTCGGATCCCTTTCTAGTTAAATTGATTCACTACCCGTTGATATTAATTTGTGGACTTCGACATTATTTTGGGTTTAGATATGATGAGTATTGAATGTATTGATGATCCTAGGGGTTTGGGGATGAAACCATGGAGGTATAGACGATTTGGAACTAGAAAATTAGTTGAAAAATTCATCAGTTGCACATGGAAAATGCAAGTCGCGTCACGCCTGCAATGCGCCAAAAAAGGGCTTCAGTCACAAGGTCCTGGCACGGTGTGCCACTAGTGCGCGGGAACCAATCCTCAGTCAAGTGAGTCTGGCGCGGCGCCACAAGTGCGCCTGGATCTGCATTTTTCACCCAGCTTTTCTAGTTAATCATTTTAAGACCTTCTAAGGTACATTTACACCTTCCAATGATTCTAATCATTACAAATTATGTCTCAACAACTAAAAATCACTAATGAACGTAAACCATAGCCTTGAATCCATGATCCAATTAAGGAAAGTTATGATTAAAGTCAAAGGAGTTAAGAGTTAAGTCTAGAAGTTAAGAAGCAAGTCAAAGTAAAGTTTCTTAATGTTTTCAAGAGTCTTTATACAATGTTTTAACTTCTTTGTAAGGCTCAAGTTTCAAGTCAGCGCAAAGGGTAAAAGTTGAAGTTTTTTTTCGTTCAAAGAAATGTACGGGATCCCTAAAAGTTTGTTAAGACTTAAGTTTTCAAGTTAAGCAAAGACTAAATAGTTGAGTTCAATTCTCAAAATTTATAAGCGAACTAAGTATTCCCTGAAAGTTTATAAATATTTTCACATTTAAGTAAGAACGGAAAGTGAGATTTCCAAAGAGCTTTTGGGCAAGTTTTCAGATAAGAGTAATTTCTCTAAGTAAAGCAAGAGAGGAAACTTAAATGTCCAAGATTGACTTTTGAGCTAAGTTTTGAGCACTAATCTCAAATCACAGAAGCAAGTATGTTTTAAAAATATAAGATCTAATATAATGATATTTTAGGGAGTATTATTGAGCTCCTATATGGAGGAGAGTTCAGATAACTCCTAGCCCCCGTAAACCATATAGCAACCATGGGTAGAAAAAGGGTCATACTTTTTAGATGATTCCTTCAGTGTTTTTTGCATAGAGAGGTAGATCCATTAGGAAGTTCAGGTTCTACATCAAATGCAAGGTGTAGGACGACCCTAGAAGCGTAAGGCAAAACGTTGTATAATTACTTTAGATATTAAGTGATATTTATTGGTTAGAGAAACTCCAACAAAAGTTAAATGTATTTACATATATACATCAGTTTAATTGTATTTTACATACATCATAGAGTTATTTGTATCCTTGTATACATTTATAATTTTCAGCATCTTTCCTAACAACTTTTCTTTAAATTGCACTTGTGCTTAGATTGTTTTACATTGAAATGAGTCAGTCATGGTTCTTTAGTTTCTTTAATAATCTTTCAAGCCTATGTTATTTAAAATTTCAACTCGTATACGTACAATGAATGTACTGATGCCAATTGACCTTCATCCTCAAGGTGCAGACGTAGGTTACCAGGATCATCATCCAGTACCTCGTTGACCTAGTTGCACCCATAGTTAGTGGTAAGCCTCCTTGCATTTCGGGGGACTCTACTATTGCTTTGTACTTTTTTTATTTGTAGAATGATGATGGTTTTCCCTCCAATATTTATCTTAGTATTATAGAGGCTTCATAGACAGATAGTCAGTCAGATAATAAGTAATGAGTTTCTCTTCATTTTTCATATCAGATGTTCTATTTTTGAGAATAGAGTGTCATTTTTGCCAAGACATTTTATTTTAAGTATTTTGTCATAATGATTCTTACTTCTTATTGAGTTAAGTCTTTTGTTGAGTTAAGTACGTTAGACCAAGTGTTCGCTCAGGGCATGACAATAATTCAATTAAAGATCGATAAAGTAAAAGGACAATTTCTCTTTACATAACAAATTATAAATAACATTCTTAGAGTGGTTCGTTTTTTAAAATTAAAAGAGACAAACATAAGCTTTTCTTTGTTGGGTAGGGTGGGGGTTCTTTACCCATATTTAGAAAAGGTTGGGAGTAAAAATGACTAATTCAAGTTTCTTGTTTATTTTTGCTATTTAGTTGGTAAGAAAAAAATTGGCTCAACAATATTTATACATAACTTGGAAATATATTAAAGAGTGTTATTTGACCATCAGGAACGGCTCAAAATATTATGATCTCTCTAAAGTCAAATAAATTTTATTGATATTTCTTAAATTTTAATTAAAGAACATAATTACAAATATTATTCATGTTTTATATCTCGACATATTTAAATTCTAAGAAGAAAATCAAAAGTACTTCCACGAAGTAAATATGGGTATATATATATATATATATATATATATATATATATATATATATATATATATAATAAGGTGAGAGTTTGAAATTGAAGTTTGTTCTTGGTGTTGATAAACATTAATCCATACCAAACACAACCTTAAGGAAAATACATAAACATATGCCAATAGCAAGATTTTTTCTATTTATAAATATAATTGGAAGAAACTTAATGGGACCGAATTCCAAAGTTTTCATTCCTCTGACTCGATGACATATGTTCATCCTCAACTGGATGAAATGAAAAAATCAAATAAAATAGATTTTATGGTCACATCGTTCATCCTTAATCTAATGAACTATAAAAGTAAATATGCATATATGGCAACAAACAAAGAAACACAAATATAAACAAAACATCCTATATGACCGCAAGCATTCATCCTCCACTAGATGGACTACAAAAGTAAATATCATGGCCTTCACGACAACAATTGTTCATCCTATGTCGGATGAACTGTGGAACTAAATATAATGACCCTTGTTGGATTTGGCTGATGAAATTGATACACGTCAATTGGGGGTTGCAAACGACATTATCTCAATCGCAACTTGCTTGTACATTTCTTCAACTCTGGATGCTTCAGAGACTTGAGCTATGCCAGTTCCACCTGTAGCCTGGATAGACATCAAATATATTTTTAAAATGAAGCAATACCAATAACAATAATATATTCAGTAAAATATTACAAGTGTAGTCTAAAGAGTGTAATATATACACATGATTATCCATATAATCTTGTAAAAGTAGAAAGACTATTTCTGTTAGACACTCCACTCAGGTAAAATTTTTTAGTAATTTCTAAGCATAATCTATGATTATACTATATGCAGTAGAAAAAAGAAAGTTTCGACCTCAAGGTGAAAATAGGTGTGGGAAGGAATTTTTTAAACAAAGAAGATAGATATACTTTTTAACCTTTATTTCATGTGAAGATAATGCTTAATTAGATGCTAGAACTATGAAAGAAAAAATAACTATTTCTCAAACAAACTTAATTTTAAATCATTTTTTAACACATGTCATATCTTCAAGTTCCTGATCACTCAAACAAACAGACGTAAAGTAAATCAGAGAGTATGCTAACTAAAAATCCTAGTTCAAAATCTTCAAAATCAGCAACATATTATTTTGAAGAAAATGAAAGGACTTACATGAGCTTGGATCATGAACATGCTTCTGAATTGATCACATGAAACTTGAGCAGACAGAATCTCAATCTGATGTTTCCCCAAAACATAACCAATGAAGGTGAATAGCCCTGACTTCTTTGGACAACACACACTAATATGTGCATTTTCACCACAAACATTAACTATCACGTTTGGTGAACTCCATGTCACAAAACCTGTTGGAATGTTATTATTCACCATAAGGGGATTGGTACCATGAGTTGTTGATGCAATAGAGGAAGAATTATGTGTTGATCCTTGATCACCCTGATATTTCTCCCAATTGTTACCAGCATTAGTAAATTTTTGTGAACTCATACACCTTACATTATGCTCTTGAAGCCTTTTTAGTTTTTCATGTTCAAGCTTCTCAAAAGTATTCTGCAATTTTTGGATGTGGTTCACTGCTTTCTCAACAATTGTAGACTTACCAGCCTGCATATATTAAAAAATATATAAAATTAATTTAATTTCTACTTTAGAAGCAAAGTCAGAACTTTCACTGATTAAGGAGAAGTAAAAGTCATTTATTAGTGTGTGGAAAAGATTTATTGACTAAGTAAAAGTTATAAAAAATGCTATTATTTAGAATCTATAATATTCAAACAATGTCTACCAATACGTATCTGACCAATCTATCTTTCTTATGAAACTAATTATAATAAGCAACTTATTCATAAAAAGTGTTGTTAGTTGTAATTAAATTGAAAAATAAGCATGTTTTATCGGTTACAACAAGTAAAATACACTACTGCTCGTGTAATAATTTTGTATATGTTTAATTTATAGAAATTAAAATAATATAAATATTAATACTTGTTAATTAGTTCAATGAGTTACAAATATCTTATAATTATATGAACTAAGAAAATTCAATTTTTGACAAATTTATAATGAAATTAAAATGATGCTCAAAGCTTCATATCCTTTTGCTAGAAGAGAAAGAAATAAAGAAATTCGTGGAGATTCTTTTTTATAACTATATATGCACAAAAATCAGAAGTTCTATATTGTTTTATCCTTTTTTTTTTATAAAACAAAATACGTCTTATTATTCTATTTCAGAATTAACATGTACATATTTAAAAATTAGTAATAAGGAAAATATGTATATCACAAAATAAATTTATTACAATGGAGTCCAGGGTCTACTAGATATAGTCTCTCTAGGATATTTCTAGTAGACCCTGGACTCTATTGGTGTACATTTTTTAATTTGTTTCAAAACATTAAAAGATATGTCTTTCATTTTTGTTGATATTTAAATTTAACTTCGACAAGATATGTTTAATCACGAGAATAATGAACCAACCAATGAATTAATTTTTAAAATCATTTTTCAATTTTTAATTTTTTTTTAAAAATTCTTGTTCATATTTACAATAATTCTCAATGACTTGATTATGGTTATAAATTAAGGTTGTGGAAGACAGTAAAGCAAAATGTCAAGAAATTGTTTCAGCTAATAATAAATTTTATTGAATTATTTTTATTTTGATCGATAACACATCAAATGATAAAAAAAATAAGGTATGTAATTGAGAGAATTTATGTTTTACCTTAGCAGGGATTTTAGGAATCAAAGCACGAAGAGTGTCGAACAAAATTCCAATTTTCTTTGTCCTTTGTCTCGCCGTCCAGATGTGTAAATCATGATTTAATCCTCCTGTATCTCCGGCTCCATCAACACAAAAATTTTGTTCAACAATTTCCTTACCGTTCTTTTTTTGGTTGGGTGGGCTTCACTTCTTTCCAGCATTAGTACTTGCTTCAATCACCTCATTAACAGCTGTCAATGGTTCATAAGTATCAAATCTATTTGGATCTTGTAACTTGTCACCCTCAAATGTCACTCCACTCCCAATTTGATTGCCATTCAAGTTTTGGTACGGCCATCCATCATTAGTTTCCCATGGAAAAACATGATTATTCTCACCGCCTCCATTCATTTTTTTTCTTTTTCAGTTGGTTTGATATTGTATCCTAAGTTACGCTATATATAGAGTATTTTCTTGTATGGGGGCAAAGTGTAAAACATAGAAATAAGGGATTGGATATGATAAATATTAAATATGAAAAGAATATATAGAATGGTGACAAAAAGAAAAAAAATAGAAAAACTAAAAAGTAGAGATAAAAAAGGATAATCCATTTGTAATGAAGAAAAAATAAACTATAATCATTAGCCAAAATGTCGTTACTAGCATAAAAAAAATGGTAGCTAAATTACTTTTTGTTATAGATTTTGTTCTCATTCAACTAGCCTCAATTCACACTTACCTGTACTAAAATAATCTATTAATATTAATTATTAATATTAAGTTATAAAGTTAATCAATATATATTCTCATCTATACAAATAGACTATTTTTTTTCCAAATAAAAGGATTGTATATAAGTATTATTACTCAAAATTTTATTTTTATTTTTAAAAAAAAACAAGTCTTAATTCTTAAGTTATATGAATTAGGTGAGTCTGAGTTGTAGTCTTATAATATAAGAGGTCACATGACTAGCGTTAATGAGATTTTAATAATAGCTTATTCACGTGATTATAAATATTAATGAAATTTAATTAATAGCTGGATCCGACTATATACATTAGATTTTACTTATCTTTTTCTCATATATTCAAGTTAATCACTCTATTATGAATAATTAATTAAGCTTTTTTGTGTAAAGAATATATTCATCACGCAATACTCGTTCCATATAAATGAAAAAAGATCATCATTTTATTTCATCTTCTGCCAAGATGTTAAATGAATCTAAAATATAATGATAGACTCCCTTTATTAGGGAATAAAATAAATTGGTTATGATATGAATTCATTTACTAATACTTCACTAGTTTGTAGATTGAATTTATTTTTTTTGATAATTCAAATAAAAATTATGATCAATTTTTTAAAATTATTTATTGGTAAAAATTGTTTATTGCTAATATCTTTTAATGATGACAATCAGGCATATCAAATGTAGGGAGGTGTATTGATTGTCTTGGTTCGATTTCAAAATGTATCGCTTATATTTGTTGGTAGTTACACATGCTAAATCGTTGTAGAACTATTACGATATCGGATTCTCAATGATTGATTCATCAGTCTAACTGTTATGATTTAATCTAAAGAAGTTCATTGAAAGTCACTTAGAAACAAGATGATAAACTAAATGAATCATGTGTAGGAGTTCACATATTGCATCTTGTTCAAAAGAAAATATTCACATTTTAGAATCTTGAGAGTTCAAAAGATTCATTCAAACACGTATGAGAATATAATTTTTAATTCACATCGGGGTTATCTCTAACTCATTAAGAAAAAAAATATCAACCCGTATAAAAGAAATTCATGATAATAAAAAATCAAAATTGTAACTGAAACCATTGAACAAATAACCCATTATCGCTAAACTAATATTTTTTGTTTGATTTTGAACAAGCCTAGCCAAATGAATGAGTTAAATTGAATATGGGCATGTTAAAAAAATCGAATTGTGTTAATAAATAAACGAGCCAACTTACTTGGATTGAAATGGATTAAATTTGGAATCATAGCACTAATCCACCAAATTCTTATTAAGTTTAAATTTTTTTATGAGGAACTCTTGCAAATAACCATTATATTAAACTTAATTACGTTTTATATGTATTGTTCTCATAATTGCGGGTTGCACCTACAATTTAAGTTGCTTCATTTGTAAATATTGCGGATTTGTATAATTTATAGGTTTGTATGATTCACGGGTACACTTATATAATTTAGTTATTTTTGTATAAACTCAAAATAAAAAATTAATATGATTACACACATCAAAATTGTATAGAATTATACAAATTCCTGGAAGTTTTTATCACAAGCTTTTGATTAGAGAAATTTTGTTGTCTTCTAAGTCAACTTTGTCAACGGGGATAAAATAGATGTGAATCCCACAACAAACCTTCAATAATAACCAATCAATCACAAGAAACTCCTAATATCCGTTGAAGATGTGGGTCTGAGCCAAGTCTGCACTACTTTAATCTTCCAAGTGTCAACTAGTGTTCCTTTTCCAGAAACAATGTGGCCTAAGAAAGAAACACATACCCAAGAAAAATTTACACTTGGAAAATTTGGCATACGACTCTCTATCTTTGAGAGTTCGGCACTAAACATAAAATGAACATTATCGGAAATTAATTATTAATTTTTATAAAATATGTATTTTTTGCGACAATTAACACTCTTTCTATATGTCTCTAAAGTCTTTAATAACAATTTTTCTAATGGCACTAATTTTAGTAAATAATTTATCCCTTTTTATTGATTTCTATATTTATTGTCACTGAAATTTGTTTTTGTTATAGTGTGAACTGCTCTAACATGATTAGCATGATCCTCCTTATTCCTCGAATAAATAAGAATGTCATTAGTAAATATGGTAACAGAAATATAGAGAGAAGACTTAAACACTTTGTTAATGAGGTTTATGAACGCTGCAGGAACATTAGCCAAGTAAAAAGACATAACCAGAAACTCATAATGACCATAGCGGGTCTTGAATGGTGACTTTGGAATATAACTCTCCCCTACCCTCAACTAATGATAGCCAGATTTAAGGTCTATCTTAGAGAAGCAAGTGACACCCTAAATGTTGATCGAAAATATTATTAATTCTCGGAAGAGGATACTTATTCTTTATAATAAACTTATTCAAATGGCGATAATTAATACAAAAATAAAGAGAATCATCTTTCTTTCTCACAAATAATATGGTAGTATCCCAAGGTGAGACACTGGGTTAAATGAAACCTTTATCAAGAAGATCCTTCAACTGTTCTTTTAACTCTTTCAACTCAGTCAGGGACATTCTATATAGTGGAATACAGATAGGTCGAGCATCAAAAAGAATATCTATACCAAAGTCTCTTTCTCTCTCAGAAGGACTCTGGCAGATCATCTAGAAAAACCTCTGGAAACTCATTCACAAGTGAAGTTGACTAAATAGCTGATGTCTCAACACTAGAGTCATTATCTCGGACTAAGTGACAGATGCACCCTTGGAAACTAACTTTCTGTCCTTAAGGTATGAAATAAAATAACCCTTGGCACTGACTAAACTTCTCCTCGACTGAATAATTGGTTCATTAGGAAACCGTAGATTAACTACTCGAGCTATTCAATTAACCGAGACATCAGGCATAGGTTGGTCTTCATTCGACGAGTGGGTGTGCCAGAGGAACCCATTTGATATGGGGTAAGTTGTCTGAGAGGGAATTTACTTCCACCTAAAGCTTATCCTAGTCATCATTATCTGTCTAATTTCCTATCAAAAGCATGTACCCAACGGTTTACTTCAGCATATATTGCAGTCACACCCTAAGAACATTTCCCCTTACTTGATTCCCCTTTGTTTTTACTGTTTTTACTAGTGAAAAACATTATTTATATTTTACACTTCGGTGTCACAAATTAAATATACTTTGTTTTGAGTAGATAATTTTTTAAAATACTACTAACTAGTATAAAAATTCTAGTTTAGCTACTATTTTCCCTACCTATCCCTTTGGACATGCCCCAACCCTTGGTTGGGTAACTATACTTGCTTTGATTCGTAGACACTCAGACTAATGTCAGTGTCGTTGATCATCATATCACAAGAAGAATTAAAGGTGTCCCCATATCATTCCGCTGGAATCTATTAGACTCATTTCGGTACATCAAGATCAATGAACCTAGGCTCTAATACCAACTTTGTCACGACCCAGACAATCCTGATTGGCACGCACACTAACTTTTAGGTGGGAGAACCACTACAACCATCTAATTATTCAAATAATCTAAAAATAAGGAATTTAAGTAAACAAGCAAGTTAAATAAGTTGAGTAAGAGGTTCTCCTAAACCTTAACAAGAATTCTAAAGAACTAATTAAAAATTGTGGAAGATAAACCTAGAATCCGAAAGTCAATGTACCATAAAATCTAACAATTGATCCAAGTCTAAACAAGATTTACTAATAGACGAATCGTCTGACTAAAACGAAGGTCTAAGTCCAAATGTGGTAGACTTAGACGAAAAAAGAACTTCATGGATACCCGGAAGATGTAGCTAAATCTTAGAGTCAATACGATAATCTTTAGTCTATTAAGCAAGGTCTGTCAGTAGCCGCTTGAAGTTTTCCTATACTCAACAAAATTATGAGCAAGTGCAGAATCAGTACACAACCACAGTGTATAGGTAGGATCACGTGGCTATCTCACTAGTGTAACATAAGCAAATCAAATAATATTACAATCACATGCATATATATAACAACATTATCAACATGAAAATTAAAAAATACACTTCACATTTATCACCACATCATTCGCCCTCTAATGGAACCTAAACCCAAACATTTAGCTTGTTGAAACGTGACAATCTGATCCCATGTTGTTCCAGAACGTAGAAACCCGATTCAATGTTATATCAGAATGTGGCAACCGATCCTAGTTAGCTTGTCAAAATGTAGCAATCGAATCCCCGTTCACGCACCATAATCGCAATAACAGTATATCATAGATCATACATTTACATCATGATTTCATTGCTAAATCATTCACTCATGTCATGTACAACAAGTTTAATAAATACTGCAACATTCATACACTTCTAAGTGTCACAATGAAGAATAAACAAGCATACATCACAAAATTATGAATTCACAACTAACCATCACCTTCCTCAAAAAAAGCTTGAAACCCTAAGAAACTTGATTTTCCCCTTATGTATTCCTTCTTCTTGTTCTTGGTCTACAAACAATTAATACATACGGAAATCAATAAACAATCTATAATTGCCAACAAGTATCCTACAAGCCCTAGATCAACCCATGATCCGAACTAACCAAATTAGAGATGTGTCAACCACGAAATTTAAAAAGAAACCTTTCCCCATCAACATGGACCCATTTTATTACACTCTATTGATC